CCATATGAAACAAGTCCATATAATTTATTGTTGTGTGTAAGTGGACCACCAGAATCTCCGTAACAAGCATCTTTACCGCTTGTGAATGCACAGAAATTTGAAGAAGTTAATGAATAGTATCGAGAGCATGATGATCTAGACGTAGTTTTAATATCAACAACACGTAAAACCTTAGATTGGGAACCAGAATTATCTATACCCCAACCCCAAACTTTTACAACGACATTATCAGCGAGAGCTGTTGTGCCTAAAGCGATTGGTGTGATATTGGTACCAGTTAGTGCAGATGTTAAGTGTAACATTGCTATATCCATATTGTAATTATTGGTGTTGTAAAGTTTTGATCTCACAATTCTAGTTACACTACGAACCACTCCACCGCTGTTCAAGTTAGTAGTTCCTCCTCGAACTTGTATTTGACTGACTGTTGAATCAGATACACAATGTGCAGCAGTAAGAACTAAAGTTGTTGATATCAATGCTCCGCCACATATAACTTGCCCGTTCTTCATTAACTGTATTATATATGGTGCCTGGGATATTGTTGTTGTTGTTCCTCCAACGATTTTCGCATCCTTTTCGGCACATTGTATGTGTGGAATCGAAAATAGTCCTATAACGAACAAAAAACTGCAGATGGAGTATTTGACGAACATTTTACCTTTCTACACTGATCTTAGGCAGTCACTGATCGATACTTTTTTCACAGCTGCCCTTTATAGCAACTACGTAAATCTGATTTTTATTAATTTTTTTATAATTGTCTAAAAAAATAAAACGTTTTATATAAAAAATGTCTCTATGTCTCTACCAACTGAATAAACAGTTTGAAACCATTTTATATCTTACGTTGGTAAATATATCATTTATCAACACTTTAGTTAAATATAATAACGTCATTCATATCCTATTATTGTTTATTTGAATTAAATACATAAATTCTTTTCATCATTGTTTTCTGAAAATTAATAGTTGATGTTTAATTAACATAATTTTAACGATTTTTTAAGAAAGATTTTGATAGAATTAATGATGACAGCATTAGGAAAATAATTACGTAAAGATGCCGCAATTCTTATAGTATTTTCGCTTTAGATCGTCAGTTATTTGTTATATGAAGCTAGACTTAAGTTTTTTTTGATTATTTTTTTAGATGTTATCGTACTTTGTGACTATTATCAAAAGTTTGTAGTATTGATTACTTCCAAATCCTAATTGCAGGGTAATTGTAAATTGGCATTCAGAATTTCAATTGTAATTGAAACACCAAAATCCAAATTACAAGTAATTGGAATATGTAATTTAAATGTAAGATAATAGTCTATTATCACCTATGCTTACAAGGGTCTTTTACACCTCGTAACTATAATAACAGTGCAAATAAAATATTTAATATGCTGTAATTGAAATGCTAATAATCCACATAAGAAACGCAGAGGATGTCGTTCAGATCAAAAGTCATAAATTTTAAAGGCTTATACCTTATATTATTAAGTAAATCGATAGAAAATTGAGATTATATCAAGATTATGACACCCGGTAAAAAATCTTCATGCAAGGGATAATAAAATGTCATCTAAACGCTCCATGAGAAAAGATTTATAGATAGCGGAATTGGGATAGTATCTGCCATTGATGTGATAGTATCAAGATTATGACACCCGGTAAAATATCTCGAGCTAAAAATGGGATAATAAAATGTCATCTAAACGCTTGATGAGAAAAGATTTATAGATAGCGGAATAGGGAAAGTATCTGTCATTCGAGTAAGAGATCTAACATCTACTGCCGTTTTTATAGATTTATATTATTTCTTCAAGTCGAACTTTTTCGATATATTGTAGTATTCAATCCACTTCATCTAGCTTCATTTCTTCAACGAATATGATACCAATCTAGATATATATTTCGTTTATGTATTAGAATTACTTAGTGGCACACTACTAAAAAGTCAGTCAAAAAAAGTCAGATTAGCAAACATTTTTATTTAGAATTCAATAGATATTTTCTTTTAGTCAAATTTATTAAACAAATGGTTGCGATTCTTAATTATGCAAAAGTTTAAATAAATAAAGCTTTTTTAATTAAACAACTGATAAAATATAAATAAAGTAAATCATCAGACATGTATTCATATCAGTACTCGGATAATATCTATAAGGAATATAATTAAAAGACAAATAAATTCATAAATAAAATAAATTTTGGTCTGTTATTGTGTCCATGCATATATATTTCTTTAACTATTCAGACTATATCAATTTCAAAATTTCAGATATTTGTTTCTGTTAAATGATACAAATAAGAAATATGATCAATGGCAGTACTTATATTTTTAAATAAATACACGAAACGAAAATTGTTTTAAATAACTACTAAAATTAGATTGATTGGGTTAGATTGGAATAGTTACAATAGTGAACATTTCTCTTTCTCTTTCATAAGTTCTCTCTTTCATAAACCATAGTTAAAGTACAGAAAAACTATTATGCAGTTTCAGAAATAAAATATACTTATGATTAAAATTTTGATATAATTTTTTTTCAAACATGTTCATCGAACCTTGCCATTAGATGTAAAAAACAATATCATTGAATTATTTTCCATAGGATATCTTACAGTATTGCATTCTTTTGATTTAACTTTATGCGTTATTGGCACATAGCTGGCATGAAGTCGGAGCTCAACGGAGCTACGTTACTTTCAAAACGTAAAGAATTTAAAGATTTTTCACATAAACACGATCCTTTGCGTAGTGATCAGAATTGATTATTAGCTTAATGTGAGCTAAATCCCTGCTCCCAGTAATGCCTGTTATTTGCTCAAGATATTTACTTGTAGATTACAACTGCACAAAATACAAAAATTTTGTTTGTTGATATATCCACCAAAGGGTAAATAAGATAACAGTGCTGTTTGACATATGCCACTCAAACAGTGCTGCCAAGATAGAAATACAAAATTTGTTATATTTAGGTTAGGTTAGGTTAGGTTAGGTTCTACCGGTGATTCTTAGGATCCACTAAGGCCTATTAGCTCATTTTATATTGGACCTTATAAGAAATTAAACGTTTAAAAATTGCAAAAGGTTGCAAAGCCTGAAATACAATTTAGAAGAAAGTCCTATAACTGGTACTCCGATCATATGTTGGACAGTAATAAAGCAGATGTGAGAGATAGTACGAAGCTCTCCAGGTCATGGAGTTTACTAAACAATTCTAAACAATTTTGATAGGAATCTGATTTGATGCTCCTATATATTCCGAAATATGATATATATATATATATATAAATATATGTGCATGTATGTATGTATGCATAAATTATAAGACATTATAAGCTAATGTATTACTTATTTATTAAAAATTATTTAATTTTAATTAAATATGTTTATAATTAAATTTATTTATAATGATTATGAATAATAATGATAACGAATAATAATGATAATGAGACTTATTTCTTAATATGTATATTTCAGTTTCTGCAAGTGGTAACAAAGTTATAACCGGACCATTTCTACAAATAGAAAAACAATTATCAAGACTGACTATAACAAAACCGCACTTGGCTTACTGCCTACCATGCAAAGCAACAATCACAGAAAATTTTTATAAAAGTATGCCTTGTACCATAGTATAGTATTGTTTCCAATCATTAATAATGCATTCCTTTTACATTTAAGATAACTTCAAATTTTTCTATACTTGGTTTCGAAACGATAATAAACTGATTGATCCACCTAAATATAGAAATGGTACTTTGTGTTTACCGCCGAATGAGAGAGCAACTGGAGTTTATCGTTGCATAATCAATGCTAATGAAACGGCACTACTTTCAGAACAAATTAATGTAGAATATCCTGGTGAGTGTAAAAGTATAATACATGTGTATATCGGTACTAATGAAATGTTTTATTTAGTATTGAGACGTGTTCTGAATATCTCAACGAATATAACAGCATTATATGGTCTACCTCTGACACTTAATTGCCCCGTTGTGAGTGTACCTCCTGCAAATATATCCTGGTATATTGGGAATACAACGTTATCGAAAAATTACAAAGACGACAGGCGAGTAAAGATCAAAGATGTGATATCAATCGAATTTCTATTACAATTAAAATTTTGGTTGTTCACTTATAGAGAACACAATTCGATTGGTTGAATCTAGTTTAAATTTTTTTAATTAAATTATTTTCAGTTTTCTATAATATGCAATAATTTTTCATCTTACAGTTTCATTGTCCTTGCCAATGGCAGTTTAGTTTTAAGGAATATTACTTTAAGAGAAAATGGAAAGTATAAGTAAGTACTAAAAATAAATTGAATTAAAATATTTTTTAAATTAATATCTTAAAAATTTTATATCAAATGTTAGATATGTGCAATTATTAATAAATTAATTATTTATCTCAGATGCTTAGCTCGAAATGAATTTACAATAAAAAATCATCGTAAAATCACTCTGACTGTAACAGTGGATGGCGCAAAAGATCGTCGTAAACGTTCGCAGCTAATACCATATTTACAGAATCCTACAGAATATGTGCCACAAGGAGATGAGTTGAAACTTTATTGTAGTGGAGTCAACAATTCAGTTTCAATTGAATGGTGGTTTCAGCGTACAACACACTCTCCACTAACTAAACTCAATAACGATAGCAACGAATATCACATAAGCTATGCAACTGTTGAGGATCACGAAGGTTACTACACATGTTCAATACCAAACACATTAGATACTCAAGTAAATAATTTTTGAAACTAATGGTTATTATAAAGTATATCATTGTTCTCATTATTTTAGACTTTTTACGTGATTGTAACAATACCACCAAAGATAATCGAGCCTCTACCCTCATATGAAAGTCTAATAACATCTGCGATGACACTTCAATGTCGTATTAGTGGTAACCCCAAGCCAATTGTACGTTGGTACCACAATGGGTCTCCTTTAAATAGTTCCTATACACGTAACATAAACGGTAATGATCTTGTTTTTTATTCGTTCGATCCAGATGAAGCAGGCATGTATCAGTGCTTTGCGCATAATATTGCTGGTGAAGTATACTCTGCTGCGGAAATACGTTTGGGAAGCAAAAGTGAAGAAATAAGAAGTAATCCACTACAAAATATTCGTTGTTTTCCACACAGCTCGAATACAATCAATGTTACTTTTGATAGCAAAGCTACTGACGTAAGCTTGTATTGCCCTTACTCATTTCAGATCACAAAAAATGAATTAAATATATACTTTTCACTTACAGCCCCTGTTTATTGCATACATTGTACAAAATAATCCTTATCGTTGGACGGCTCCATTTCCTCCTAGAAAACTAAACAGTACCTCTTATGTGATATTATCTAATGATTTTCCTTATTATCGTCCATTTGCGTTAATTATTCGTGCTCTATTTCCTACATCAGAATATCGATACCAAGGTAGCAAACCTCAGCAACAATCAATGCAAAGCTCAATTCGAAGTCCGCCAATTACATGCTTCACTCAAGGATGTAAGGGTTTTCTCCTTTTTTTAAGCATAACTATGAAATCATTTTGAAATTATTTATTTTTTATAGTGCCGTTACATGTTGTATATTTTGGCAATGACACTTTTGTTACATGGTCCCAACCCGATCTAAGTTTAAAGAAGTATTTTATTCTACAATTTTCCATAAACTATACTAATCCACATCCAAAACAAATGCTTGATCAACAATTACTTGGCACCACTCGTCACGTAAACCTCACTCAAGAAGATGTTTCTAAAGATCTCACTAACATCGAGCCACTTAACGGCACAGTAGTGCGTGCCATTCTCAAACGAGCGGAAAGTAAGTACATTGACAATGATGCTCGAGTGAATCATTTGGAAACTGATGAGGACATTTTCAACTTGGTGGTACCAGCGAATGTCTCTGGTGTTTTGATGCAAAATTTTACATGTATCAAATTACGGGTTCTCATTATAACATCAGAAAATGAAAATTTGGCACAAGATTTCCGTTATGTACATTGGAAGTCAGTAAGTTAAATTCAGAATTCTAAATTTTCTTCGGGCATAAAAATACTCATTTTTTTTCGTAATATTTAATGAAACTTTTTTTGTTATTATATGTATATATATATTTAACTATATTATTTATATATTTAATCCAGATCGACAACAATACTTCAGAACTTTTAAGTACACCATTTCGTTTGAAAATCGTGGAATCGCGTATGGTGGTTTTTCATTTTCAGGACAATTTCAATGAATCGTGCATACGTGTTTGTCATTCACTAACAAAATATCCAAACATCAACAAAGATAAGCCTATATGTAATGATCGTATGATTAAAAACTCTCAACTAGAAGTTAGTGGCTTAAAACCAATAAAAAGTTATCGTTTGAGCTTTTCAAACTGTGCATCACACCATTTTTACGGACAACTGGATGTCAATACTTTACCAGATCGTAAGATTAAGGCTGAATACAAATCACTTAAAATTTTAAACCTATTTATTTTTAGCACCAGGCACCATCAGTAATCAACGTATAACAAGGCACAATGGCTTAAAGTTGAGCTGGGATCCGCCACTCCAACCAAATGGTCAGGTACATCATTACAATATAATTTGGACGCTAGGCAATGTAACGCATGAGGCTAATGTTATGGAGTGCAACATATGCTATTATAAGGTTTGCATTATAAAATACTATTTTATGTAAAAATTTGTTAATAATATTTTTTTTATCTACTAGTTTCCTAATATTTCTGAAAGTGCAAAAATAAATGTAACAGTGCGAGTGGTAGGTGAAACAGGTATTGGTGCACCAATTTTTATAGATCTAAGGGGCATAAATCATCACATGATCGAGATAGAACAGAATTCAAGCACGGAGTTATATAGTGGTATTTTAATTGGAACCTTGCTTTCGGTACTGTGCGTTGTTATTTTTGCTTTGATAATTATATTGCAACGTCGGCGTTTCAAAGCACGTCAACAAGGTCCAGTACACTTAACATCTACCTCAGAAATGAATTTTGGCAATTTAAGTAACACGGGAATTCAATGTGATAGTGCGGGTGGCTTGAGTGGTAGTACTTTACAACATGAATTCTACGAAATGCAGACACTAATACCAAAGACTGTAAGACGAGCTGATAATGTGACAAATCGACCGAATGATTATCAAACTACACCATTACCAAATGGTAATAAACAAGCTAATCGTGCTGATCACAGTCTTGTCATTGAAACTAATAGGCAAGGTTTCGATGGCACTTCCAGTCATAATAGCTCACAATTACCGCTATGCAGTTCTACACCAGAACGTAACGGAAAAGATGAAGTGCCACAAGATGCTAGACCCTTCTTTATTCCATTCAAAAACTCTGCAAATGCAGTAGTAACAATTCAGAAACGAGGCATTCCACCAAATTTGACAGCAGTTTGCAGTAAATTGCCACAAACTAATTTACCACTTATAGCTGCACTACCGAGTGGTACTAATAGTAATAGCACACGACGCAGTGGAAGTTTAAGTAATAGTAGCACGGGAAGTGCCAGTAGTAGTAATAAGAAACAGAATCACTCAAGTTTTTCTAAACATTCTCAGTCTATTGATGGTATATGCCTTTTAGCTGAAGAAGAATCTGCTGCAACACTAACCCCAACTTCTGAAACAGTTGCGGACAGTCCTATGGGAATACCTATGAAAAAAGAGGTAAATATAGTGATATATAACTTTAAGATTACATTGTTTTTTTAAATTTTTAAACTCTGTTTATTTTGTATAAATAATTATTATTTTATATTAAATGTTATGTGCAATATTATAAATAAAAATATTGGATTTTTGGATGGAAGTGAATTACAATAACCAAATTTTATATAATTAATTCAATTTTTGTCTGACCATATAGCCTTTTGAAGTACTGCCAAATATCCATTATTTTTAGATATATTCTTTGACTTTATAAGTGCATATTTAATTGTTGAGTTACAAATATCAGACTTTAAACTTTTATCAAAATCAAAATGCTGTTTAGTAAATTTGCATTTAACAATTATAATTAATTAATTATTCAAGCTTTAGTACTAGTCATTTTGTAATTTACTATTCTATTCAAAAATCATACTCTTAGTAAAATAGTTTTGTTTATAATAAAATTTAAAAATTAAATTTAAGCATAATGTATAGATCCTTAATTTGTATAATTTACCTCATTTATTTCTATTTTTCAAATCTTGTCTTTATTCAGAATGATTCCCATCCAATTATAAATGACAATTTAAAGTCAATTGAAAGAGCTACAACATCATCAATAGCAGTAACGAAACCCACCTTAAATTCTATTAAGTCAAATCTGGTTAATCTATGTAACAATTCAAATCAAACGAATTTAATATCAACTGATCGTTCTTTTAATCATCAAAACAAAAACAAATCTATAGTTCCTGCCGGTGGATCCATTACGGAAGTACATGTTTCCACACCACCAAATGCCAAATGTTGGCCAAAAACAACTGTTCCAAATTTTCCAATTTCGAATGCTGAGCTTTCATCAATCGGTCATTTATATCGTCGCCCCAATGTGGATCCAAATGGCTAATTTTTTTTTTTATACAGAATATTTCCAATTATTTATTAAGTTTAAATTATGTTATCCGGAGAAATTGTCGGGATCATCATGAATACATTCCAGATAGAAGCATGCTTACATACATACGTATACAAATATATATATATACATATATATGTATATATAATTTTATATATAATATATAAGATAAAAGTATATACCTATGTTGATTATGTACATTTTATAAATGTATTGATACGTATAGATAAGAAAGAAAGATATTTACATACATACATAAATATATATATATATCTATATATACAAACAAAAACGAATAAAAATTTTACATAAAGAAAATCAATAAAATATTTAATAAAATTTATACATAACATATTAAGATGCTCCTATTACTGTAGATTAATTTTTTTTTATTGTGAACTTTTTTATTTAAACTGAGGCTAATTTTATATGTAACATTTAATAAAAGTTATACATAATTATTCTTAATAAGTTGCTGTTATACAGAAAGTACGTACATATATAAAGTAATTTATTCAAAAAATATTTCACATAAATGCAATAGCAAATACCAAAATACACATAAGCATTTGCCTGTTCCAGCGTGAGCTGGTAAATAGGCTAATGAAGCAATAGCTCCCAAATGTTCCATATAGTTCAATAGTACCGTGTTCGATTATAACCAGTTTTACAAATCATTTATTTAAAAATCAAATATATATGTTTATATACAAGTATAAATCTATAGTAAAACTTTATTTTTAGTTATATATATATTTCTTTTTTTATTTTTATGCAGAAATTAAATTCAGTTAAACATATATTTCAAACGTACCTGACAACAAATTTGTACTCTTCTGTTTTTGTTATATTTTTGTTTTTATTTTAATATATATTATTTCATTTTTTAATTATAAAAATAAAGATATTTTTGCTGAATTTCTAACAATTAAGTAAAAAATAATGCTGTTTTCAAGTATTGAGAATATTTATAAAAATTTTAGTACATGTTTCATTGTTTCTATTATATTTTAAGCACATAAATGTATTTTTTACAATTAAGTTCATTATATAAATTTAAAAAATTCTCATGAAATTCTTATATAAAACAAATAAATGTTAAACGATTTTATGTATTTTAACACAACTAAGTTTTAACAGAATGATTTTAATAGTACTAAATTTTAAAAGCATAAAACCTTTCATTTTTTGTATCAATTTTATTTTTTTTGATTAAAATGATTATAATGCTTTAAAAATATTGAAAAAATTATTTTTATTTAATATTAATATCTTTATGACTCCAATAAAATAATTGTTATTCAAATAGTTTAATATGGGTTCTGAAAATAATATTTTTCTGTAGAGAATGACTAAGTACTTCTGATTATAATACAAAAGATTTAATATAAAAATAGCAAAAATATTAAAAACAAAATTTTTTATTGTAATAGTATATAAAATAAATTTGAACTTCTACAATATTTTTCGGACTAATAGATTCAGTTACCATAAAATCAATTTGCATTACAATATAACAATATATATATATTTTTTTTCTTTATATTCTGAATTAACAAGTTTTTTAATTTTTACTGGACTTAGGTCCTTTATTTGACGTATAAAAATGTTATAAAAATTAATTAATTTTATGTTAAAATTTTATGTTAAAATTAATTAAAATTTTATGTTATTAATTAATTTTATGTTTTTATCATATTTTTTAAAAAATATATGTAATACAGATATTCTGTATTAATAATAAAAATATTTAAAATCTGTATGAAAATATATATGTTGCATTTGGGTGGATAATAATCTCAAAATTGATGTTAATAATTGTAAAGTTAATTTTTTTTAATATATATCATTTGTGTTGAATATTAAAGTTGGAACACAATAATTTTATGCAGATCAAAAAAAGATACTATTTTGTCTGAATTTTTAACTAACATAATTAAGATATATCACAAAAATAAAATCTAATTAAAGTATCACTCAACAGATATACACTCAACAACAATTATTAAATAATAATGTTCAGTGTTCAATATATTTTCTTATTAATTTGATATTATAAACACTTTCCGTTTAATATATTATGAGATAAACTAAAGATTACATATATATATATACATACACATAATTTTTCTAAATGTTTTGTATCGTGTCATAGATCAGTGTTATAAATGAGGTAAAAATTAAGTGAGAAACATTTTATTCGAAATATTTAGTAAAAAAATTAAATTTTAATGAAGTGTATTTATGCCAAATATCATTACTACTTTTAAAATAATTTTTGGTTTCGCCAAATTGCCAGGAACTGAATACTGCTTGGCTCATGTGTTAGGCAGAGTTCAATTCCTATGTAAAATTTATACTTAGACAGGTAAAACTATAAAATACATTTGAAAATGTCATAGATATTTGAGTCTTCAAATCTACAGTATAAAAATAGTGTTCAAGTTCTATGAATAATTTTGATATAGATAAGTGAAACCAAAAATTTTTTTAAAAAGAATTTTTTCAGATATATAGATCATTTTTTAATTGGAATATAGATCGAAATTTTTTAATTTCAATAATATATAAAAAATTTGTATTTTAGTTTGTAATAAATTATTCATTTGACGATCAAATTTTTTTTGATAATAATTATGTTTTTAAAACGGACTAATTGGTTAATAGTTAAATAACAGACTTTTTTAAAAAAATTTAGTTTTTAAACAATTTTTTTATTTAAATAAATAAATTAATTTTATTTATAATAAATATTATTTCATAAATATTAATTTTATTAAAAATAATTTAAATTTATTTATTTAAAATTAAAATTTATTTAAAAAAAAATTTAAAATATTAATATATTTCGACTAATTTTTATAGTCATCTATAGAAAAAAGACTATATGATTATAGAATTAAGTGGAAATATTATAAAAGTTTTTGTAAAAACTAAATTTTTTTAAAGGAATGTATTATTTAACTATTATCGAATTAGCCCGTTTTAAAAGCAAATTAATTATTCCTTTTTTGTTATCAATGTTTTTATTTTATAATAAGTCAGCTAAACCGAATAATGCTTACTAAATACATTAAATTTTTTAAATTAAATTAATATAAACAATTCAAATTAAGTGTTTTTTATTTCATCTTTACTTCATTTATATTCACAATATATGTTTAATTAATAAATACATTATAATTAATAATTGATGTTTAAAACTCAACAATTGTTGTTATTTATAAAATAATTATAAATCTTTCATTTTACATATTTTTAAATCAAACAGAATTTAAAAACAAAACATTCCATTGACGTACAAAAGTAACTCTTATATATTCATTTGCATTTCAATATAAAAATTCCTCTGTATTTATATAACATATAGTATATTAAATATATATGTGTGTAACTGTATTTAAAAATTAATTCAATTAAACCAGAAATAAATAGGCTATAAGTGCAATAACTCCAAACATAATTACAAATTACATTAACAAAAACAAACTCAAAAAATAAAAAATAGTAACAAAATATAAAACAAATTGTCAAATACAAATGTAGTACCTTCCTTAAAAAACAAAAAAAAAATTAAATATAAATAAAGAAATTAAAAACAATTAATTTAAAAATAGTAAATTGTGTTCATATTAAATAAGAAGTTTGTTATGTTTGCATTCAATAATTTAATTTCATTTAAATTTATATATATATTTTATTGTGTTCCACATTCTATGCAGAAGTATACAAACATTATGTTTTATGTAAAAATATTTAAAAATAAGTTTTAAGCAACTACAAACATTCAGAGAACGAACGTACTAAACATTCAGGTTAAGTGAAATTATGATATTCCGAAACGAACTCAAAATTCCTACTGATAAAATTAACAACAAAAAAAACAAAAAATATAAAAACTTATTAAAGGCAAATATATTAAAAATCTATTAAAACAAAAAACATACCAAAACTTAAATTTAGTACTAATTAAGAAAATAAAAGAATAGAATTAAATTAAAAAACAAAAATTAATTTAACAAAAACAAAAAATGTTTGAAACTTTGCGATTGTGATCGCCGTGCAAGTGGATGTGATAAATGTTTCATTTTGTATAAAATTAATAATTATAACTAAATGAGTTAAACATAAAACATAATTTCTACACAAAACTAAAAAGTAATTTTTATACTTTTAAAAATAATTATGTGTATAAGAATTATTTTGGGAATGAATGTTTCAAAAATTTTGTAAAATAAAAAACAAAATATTTTAATTTAATATTTATTTGCATATTTGTTACATTTTATATTTTCATAAATTTTATTTTTTAAATTTAAATATAATAATATTAAAAACTATTTTTTTTTTGTGAAAAAATTAAAAACTAAAACAATTAACAGTAACAACATAAAAACAAAATATGCTTTCAGCATTAACTGAAATTTTCGAAATTTTATGTAGTGTTGTTAAACGTAATTATAAATTGGATGTTATTTGGAAAGTTGTTTCAGCTAAAAATTAAACTGTAAGTTTGTGTTAAGCATTAATATTTGATAATTTTTGTAAAAAATTGTGAAATTTTGTATTTGTAATTCAATTAATTGTGTTTGGCAACAACACGACAAAAACGTGATTGAATATGTAATAAAATTAAGAAAAAAAAACTAATCTAACCGTTGAATTTTTTTTTAATTGTAAAATCAATAGGCAAAATACAGTTTATATTGCTACATCTATGTTTTATGGTACGCATATAATGCCTCAACTGCCTTAAATAGAGCGTAACCGGCTCAGCAGTACGATATCGGTGCTTAGCGTAGGTAACTGTTTACTGGGAAGACATGTTATAAGACTGGGAATACACTAAAATGACTTTTGTCGGGGTTGTGGTTTTGAGTATGAGGAAGAAACTGTACTTAACTTCATGTGTCAGTGTCCATTATTGGCTGGGAGAAGATTCAAATTCTATGGAGCTCGATTTCTTAACAATTTGACAGAACTGTCATGCTTGGAAAATTAGGGACTTTGTTAAATCAATAAATTTGCCAGATTGGTTTACATTCAATAGAGGGATCGTACTTTGGACATACGTTAACCATGTTCGTTTGAGAATCGCTTATTCCAAAAACTGTTTAGTTTATAAATCGCATCTCTATATTGGTTTTCCCAAACGATTGTAAAATATCCCCATACGGCAGTTATTATCTCTCCATTTGATGGAAGCTTTGTTTTACAAAATAATTTCTTTTAGGTACGAGAAGAATTAGTTGTTCCAACAACTCCTTGTCTATGTAAAATATATACCTGTTGATATTGTGCACGTTGGGATGGTTAAGTGGTTAAGAGCAACTCTGGAATCGCAATAGTTTGTAGCATATTTCATAGATTTTAGCGAAGGTTTTTTGAGCTGCGTGAGCAAGTGCAATGTCTTGATAATAATATTCTTTTTACAAATTTCCCATACAATTGGACCAAAACGCTGTTATTAAACTATGTTTATAGTTTTGACAGTATAGAAGTAATTATTTAACAAAATTCCTTTTGCATTTCAAACAGACCCTAACACCTTTATGGGCGATATTTGAAAACAAACTCTTCAGAGCTGAAGATTACGTTACGATTCACTCTTCAGCTTTGATTTAGGTTTATAGTAGATGATTCAAGTCTCATACAAAGCCATGAAACAATGCATGAGAGCATTTTTGTCCTTTCTAGAAAGTATGTGATTTGCTTACAAAGTTCTATATAATTACTTTTTTTTTGCATTGCTAATAAATATAGCAATATAGCAAATATATATTATGCCCACAGATTCTTGTAAACCAAAACTTTACATAATATATTCCCATTGTACTCAATCAAGTAGTTAAAGCTGCTACTATACTGCAATCAGTAAAACAAAGATTTTCTAAATTATATCCTATATTCTTAAGACAATTACTGGAGTTGATATGATTTTTGGTCGTCTTTATATGAAATGTCTTTAAGATTTTTGCGTATGTTTTTATACAATATATTCCTATTGTACCCAATTGAATTATATTACTATACTTCGATCGGTATAGTTAATATTTTCTAAAATCACATCATGTATACTTAAGACGATTTCTGGAGCTGAAATGGTTTTTGGACATTTTTATATGAAATGTCTTTGAGGCTTTTGCGATTATTTTTATACAACTCAGCCCATTTACAAACTATAGCTCTCAAAGAAGCATTTTTATCGAATATATTATGATTATAAGTCAATGTTTTAGTAAGATTCTGAAAATATGAATCCGTTATGACACCTACAACTCAAGATATATTAAATTGAAAAACGCACTATTTTATAATCTTAATACAAAGGTTAAAATTAATTGAACATGAATTGGTTGCTCTCAATTGTAAACATTAAAAAGATTTTTTTGGCTTTCAATTCCATTTCATTTAAAAATAAAATAATAAAAATTATATATTTATTTATCAAATTTATTTAATGTAATTTGTTGTGCCATTACAGAATAAAAATTCTCTATTAACAAATTTTTATTAATAATTAAACTTAACTTTAATGTTATAAAATATCTAATGATCACAATAATCATTATTCCAGTTGATCACAATTTTTACTTATACATAATAATATTCAAAAAACATGTCTCATATATTGTATAAAATATATAACAAGCTTAAATCTTATATTTACTTTTTGGTTAACGGTTAATAAACTTTTTTAATCATTTTAACCAGTTCCTTATACAAAATGCATTCTCTACTCCGTGGCTTACAAATTTCGCGATGGTCTAAACGTATTCCACATACATCTCCAATTCCAGGATCTGAAATTTTATTTAATAGACATTTATGTTACAAATATAAAATATAATATATAATTCAAGCAATTACCAGCTGAGTCTACGCCTACAATGCGTAAATATAGTACCGACATTAATGTTAAAGCAGTTTCCACAAAACTAAAAACTTCTATTCTTAGGTGTCCCATATGGTATAGGCAAGCAAACCGTTTATGCAAATCCAATAGATACTTACTATCTGTTTTTTAAAATACGAGTATGTTAAAGACAAGAAATACAAAAAAAACCGTACTCACTCTTTTCTATGTCTATCAATTCTATTGATCTAGTTAAAAGTGGCGCTTTAATTGAGGCTAAATGCGAACCTCTATGTGGCACTGAATAAAAAAAGCATCCCCTTGCTGAACGCCAAAAGGGTGCCATTGATGGCTTTCCGCTCTCCCATGCATCGACAATTATTTGTTTCACAAAAAGACCACCCTTTGAATGTCCAACCCATATAATAGGATGGCCATAACCAACTTGATGCTTGATTAGTAACTCAGCCATTTCATGTGATCTCTGTACTAAATTCGTACGTGCTTCCTTTTTCTTCCATAATGGTCGCCAAAGATATTGATCGGTTGTATAGTTCACAGCTATTACACGTACTCCTGGACAATCTAATGGCAACCAATCTCCAGGCCAGCATTTTGAGTAATTTGGATCGTCTGGCGATAGTTTCGTAGATGACTTACCTTTGCGATGATCATTGTCTTTATTGTTATTATTATTTTCTGCTAAATCGGACTTATTTAAAATCGACTCCAGCTCTGCTTGCAAAAGGCGACCATTATCATTCATACGCAAACGAAAAGTTGGAAAACTGTATTCTACACCTTCACAGGTTTTAATATCTATCGGTTTTCCGCATACATAGGAGAAGCTACTAGAAATTTTAGAGATATAAGTAAATTTTCAATATTACATTGTATTTACAACAATTTACCCATGTCCGAAATCGGTGGTTTCTAATTCATCCTGAGTGTCTCTTTCACTGGACTGTTTAAAGGAGTTGGAGTGTGCAAAACGTGCACGTTTTTGTTTGTGTGGTGGTCGTAATACAGTTGAACGAGAGTGACGTGGTCTCTTTGGTGGACGTACTGGTGGCTTAGGTGGACGCTCAAACTCTACAGGTTGCCGTTCATTTTCCCACAGACCCTGTTTCCATGTATTCACCAGTGATCCGTGTAGCCCATGGATAAAAACGATATCAGCACGTATAGGCTCCCCTGCTGGCGGCTCAGCTAAAATGTTAAGTGTACAGCATTTAGGGGCCGCTTGTACTGGTACCGTGGTTTTGCGTTTATAAGTCGAAAACCGCGGTAGAGATCCTTTGGGCTCGCGAATAAAAGGAGAATACATCAGGGGTGCAATTGGCGTAGCAGGTGCAGAAATATCTGGTAGACTTTCTAAGCCATCTTGCGACTTACGAACTTTCAATAATTTTAGAATTGGTTCCAATCGATGGGTAACTACTAAAAACAGGTGGTTTATCACAATTAAAATTGTAAATAGATCATTACACAAACCTTGCACGGAAGATAAATTCATGGATATTGTGTTAGCTGCAAATGCAACCATATTTGTTAGAGCCTGTCGACTAGAGACTATCGACTTTAACATTCGAAGAAAGTTAGTATCTCGTATCCCTTTTATACTACGTGCGACGCCATTAGCTAAGGGCAGCATTAAACGAAGAATTATTCCAAATGCTACCCGCATGCTACTATTCTGTCCCCTGCAAAAATGTATTTTTAATAAGTGTCATTAGAGTGAAATATATATACATACACTTCCACGATTTCTTTACTATCTGATACACGAACCAACTCTGTTATGGCTTGCTCTTCTTCATTACGATCAATTTCTATGTCATTAAGGTATAAATCTGTTAAGCTTACTTCATCGCTATTCTGTGAAGTTGTACTAGAGGAATTTTTTCGCGTTGGGGCTTCAGTAAATAAATCGAGCGACTCATCACGATTAAGAGAACTACATTCTGAAAGTGACAAGTCGTAACCATCATTCTCCTCATTCTGTTCATCATTGCTTGTTAAGTCGTTTATATCTTCCATATTTTCTTGGATGTTGTTATCTGAGTTTGCTTCAAAATATACATCGACGGTTTCGGTGGTATCGTTTACATTATTTGAACTTGTCTTAATCATTTTGGACTGTGCAAGGTTGGCTTTCAATAATCAGGAAGATAGTTGTTGTTGCAATCTTAAAACATTTTTAATAATATGAGATCTGTAAAAAATAAAGGATAAATATTTAATATTCAAATATTTGTAAAAAAAAAAATTATTTGGAAAAATTTAACAAAAAACTTAATTTTAGGAGGATTTTAAGTTTCCAATATTTTAAAAATTATTTTTTTAATGAATATTATATTAATTTTCAAATCATAGTTCTTAAATATATAAATATAATTTTAGTATATAATATAAGAGCAATACGCTATTTAAAGCGTTTATCAAATAATGAATAGTTCTAAACTCTACTGTTTCATTCCGCAGTGCCTTATCTATAGCAATCAAACACCGTTAAACTCTTGTTAGAGTTACACTTTCGATAGTCTATTAGATTTCCCAGAGAATGAGTAAAGACCACAGGATACTAACAATAAACAAAAAAAAATATTATATATTAATATCATTATTTTTGGTAGAAATTATCGTTTATTCCAGATAGAGTCACTTAGATTATAAGGACATCATAACTGGACATCATAATAAACCATCTGACATCACAAGAAGTTATCTTGCACGGTAGCTGACTTGTATGTCATAACATACATCAAAATCATCTGGTTTATAACCAAGAAATTAATATGTTGTATGTTTTCATCAAATGTATATTTGAGATATGGAGCTCTCATTATTGAAGGAGTCTCCTCTTTGAGACTGCAATTTGGATGCAGTCTTTCTTTGGTTGATAGGATACAAATTTGTACAATATTTAAAAAAAGTAAAAGGGCTGGTTAAAAAGAATATAGCTTGTTTTAGTTCGTTGAACTTGTAGGTATTCTAACTTTGAAAAGTTTAATTGCATCTGGAAAAATTGTTCTTCAACATTTTCTTCAAGATTATTGGTGAATATTTGATTGACATCGATGCTTCAAACTTAAATTTATTGTAAAATAAATTTAAATAAATTTATGCTATTGAAATAGCATAAATAATACAAAAAAAAAAAATTAAACTAAGACATTGCAGTATATTCCCTGCAGTACCTCTGCAATATATCACAGAATATTCTCTGCAATACCTTAGTTTTGCATACCTTTGTAATACTACAGATATTGTAGTAATAATTTGTAATACTTTTGTAATACCTAAAATTTTTTTAGAAAATATATCTTGCCACCTGAAGATTCGTGTAATGAGAAAGTTTCCTTTCAGTATTAGAAAAACAAAAATACATAGTGAAATTTAAAAATGTTTTATAATTCTCTTTTTACTTTTTCAACAAAACCCCTGTCTACTACAGGCTGAGGTGGACTTCACAAAGTCTCTTCTAGTTTTAAGAGTCTTGCACAAATATTATATATTTTTCATTTTTCTTCAAAGTTCCGTCACTCTCATTGCTAAAATTAGTGTTGTTGTTTCCACTTACTCCGTTATTTAAAGTTTAGCCCTCAACACACTTTTCGATATTTTTTATTTTGACATAATAGATATGTCTCCAAACAGTACTCTATGTTGTAAAAACTTCTTGCGAAAAATTTATTTCCAAACGTTGCATTTGACATTTTTCCTTTTTTAATCAATTAATTTATTTATAACAAGCTCATTTATATGAAAATTCCTTTGTGGTAAATTATCCTCATTAACGGCATTAATAAGCAAAACTGCCTAAATAAGACAGTGGAAACATGGTATAAGTGATATATAAGTTGTTGCTATACTATACTCCAAATGTTATTTATCATATATCATATATTTATATATATGTGTTTCTTATTTAGAAGATATTTAGTTAACGGAAAGAAAAAGACTATTAATGTCCATAATTCAGATAATAATTTCTTTGATAATGAAATTTTTGCTTCAGAGTTAACATTTTATTTATTTAAAAGCTTATGTTAAATTTTAAATATTTCAGTATCTACACTTTTCTTGCTTTTAATACAAGACAACATTTAATTAGATTCTGAAATACAGGGAGGAAGGGGGAAAAAAAAGTAGGTGGATTAATTTGTTACCAAAAGAAGAAATTTGTAACCCTTCGAATCCATACAAAACAATTTGTTTACCAAATGACGCAAGAATTGTGTTTAGCATAATTTTCGATTTTGCAACAATTTAATGGACACTCACCCCTCAACTATATTCTGCAACGCAATATTATTTCAGCATTTCCGTGGTTAAAAATGTTGATTTCGAATACTCAGTGCCAGTAAAATCCTACGTTCTAAAATATCTTACGACAGAACATTCTTTGGCATGGCATGCAAAACTAATTAAATTAGTTTCACTATGCAGTTTAGGTGAAATGTGAATTTATTTTTAACTATAAAATTTTCTAATATTAAATAATACTTTATACCTATGCTGCTGGAATATGTCACAAAGCCACATTTTCGAAGTTATCACATATTCCGCTCGAGTAGCTAATCGTTATGTTATATTACATATCAAGGTGACTATGTGGTTGCATTTTATTGCTTATTAAAATTGATTTATTTTGTTGCATTTTTGAAAAAAAAACCATAAATTGTATGAATTTATAGTTATTTATTTATTATGTGTTAAAAAAAAATTCATACTAATTTGTCGAAAATTTAATTTAATTTAAAAAAATTAATTTAATCTATGTAATAGGTCATCGTTGTCACTCGATAACATTTTATGTTAGATGAAATTATAAATAAAATAAATAAATATATTTACCTTTCAACATATTAATATTAAATAACATTTTATGTTAGATGAAAATATATATAAATAATATAAAAAAATAATAATATGATATATATAAGTATAATTTAAGTCTCCAAATATTTGGAGACTTAAACTTACTTCAAACTAAACAGAAGAGGAGTAACGGTGAAATCAGAACATACAGATGAAATTGGATTGAAAACACCATTAGTGAGCTAGAAAAAACTATATAAAGTAGTCTTATTCTACGATATAACTTAGAGTAGAATAAACAGAAAACAATCTTCGGTACATAGGCACGTAATATGATATTTTCAGAGAAGCAGCATTATGACACTTTTTTCCACTAAACGAAATGCATACTAAGAATAACCTTTCAGTTTCGTTAAGTTATTAATCCCCGAAGTATCATTTTTCTACTCTAAAATTCTCGCCAAAACTCTAAAAATTTCGCCAACTCTAGATATTTTGGTTTGTTTCAGAAAATAAATATAAACTCTGTATATTTCGGTTAAAAAATGGTAATTTAAAACGTCTCTTTTAGAAAAAATAAATAAATGAAAGTTTAAGAAATACCAAGTGTTTTTTCAATATATTATGTCCGCACACGACTAGGGAACTACATAGTACATTCAATTGGTCACTCCGATTATTCCTAGAACTAAGAAACGTTTGATATCATTTGGCTCTTGGAAACATGTTTGATATGAAGTTTCTCAACATGCAATATAAGATCATATAAATTATTATAATTTATTATTACATAAATAATATAAATTATTTTAAATTATTTTAATATTTAAATTATTTATTTTATATATAATATAAATTACATAAATAATAAATATATAAATTAATGCATATATGCATCCAAAATTGATAATCAATAAAAAATGATTATAGAGTGCTATATGATGAAATACGATGCTTCCTTTCGACTCAGTAAGTTTGTTCATTAAAATAATTGTGACATTTGGAGTAAAAGAAACCCAAAGCCAATCAATCATATATCTCTGGACTCTTAAAAATGCAAATTTTGTGCTATTTATGAACTGGTCTAATATTATTAGTCCTTACTTGTTTAAAAATAAAGATAATTGAAATATAATCGCGAATGGTGCCCAGAATAGTTCAATGAATAATGAGTTATTTTTCTATGTGTGGATCAAAATGCTCTGGATAGCTTTTCGTTTCAACGAAACTGTGCTGCGTGTTATATTGTTAGAGCAACCAAGGAATTGTTAAGGCATATGCCAGATAATTATATGGTCTCCAAATTTTGAACCTTGGTGTTACCTTATAGATCGTGTGTTTTAAAGACTGTATTTAATTATTTGTAGAAATATTTAAAGCTATTGACCAATGCGGAAACGTAAATACCGACTTCACACTTAAACGCAATCAATGATTGCAATATTCAATATAATCCTGAATATTTCAAGGCAAATAGAAGCTCAAAGACATAGTTTTTAAGATGGTTCTGGAACGATAAATCGGCTTAAATTATTTCTCCTTATAAAAGTCATAAAATTATATGTCGCTTAAATTAATATTTGTTTCATTTATTGTTTTTAAATTTGTTTTATTTAATTTAAATATTGAAAACTACACTGTATACTTTCCTTTAATGTTTCTTCCATTGTTGTTATATTTCATACAATTTTTTTAATAATTCATTGAATTGTCCTACTGAATTTAGTATCTGGATAATTAGTGAAAATCCGTTTAAGGTTATAATTGTTCAATATATTGAACTGAACTGAATTCTGGATAATTAGTGAAGATCCGTTTAAGGTTATAGTTGTTGAATATACTGAAGTGAACTGAATTCAGTATCTGGATAATTAGTGAAAATCCGTTTACAGTTATGTGGTAATTATTGAATATGAGGTCTTACTCATGCGACATTTACATTGAAAAATTCAATTGTAATTGATCATTAAGATTTAGGTACTAAGTCCAAAGTTCTAGATTAAGACTTTGAAAAAAATCAATTATAAGATTTTGATATTCTTTGTAAATATAATGAAAATGGTGTTATTTTCAATTTAGAAAACAATAGGATGACTAATGTAGAAACGTTCTAACTTTGATATTCTTAGAAAAATATTTGAAAAAAACATGTACTTATTTACATAATGTACCAGATGTTTTTTCTTTCTTGTGACAGTAACGAGTGTAATTTTTCCAAGGCGAAATAACAATAATGAAAAATAATATTTATAATTTAAATTAATAAATAAGTAAGTCAATTTTTGCAATAATAAAGTTGTGTGATAACTCATTATAAAAAATAAATTAAACATAATATTCGACTAATTATTTCAATGTGTCGTATTTGTCACAAATATTACAAGATTAGAA